GGGGTTAGGGGCGGTTTTAACCCCTCCCAAGTACTCCATCCTTATATATATATAAATATATATATATATATATATATATATATATATATATATATATATATATATATATATATATATATATGTGTGTGTGTGTGTGTGTGTGTATGATTTTATACATATGGAAAATTATTTGAACCCCTCCATGACCAATTCCTGGCTACGCCTCTGGCACCTAAACTGTAGTTTACCCCCTGTCAATTATCTTCCGATCGTCTGCCCTCGACTTTGATCCAGTCAATTACCTCCCAACCCCAGTCTGTTTAGGGACGACATGATCTAATTGTAGATCATTCGACTGCAAACCCGAAAGTCTCGAGTTCGTATCACGTAGAATATTTTTGAGACCACTCAGTACTGATGAATACTCGATTCAAGTTAGTAAAAGTAAAGACAGTTGGGTAAAGTGTTGACCACACTATCTCTTCATATACCGAAGTCACTGGAGCAATTGAACTCTACTTCACCTTCCTCATGGACCGGCTAAGCTTGTTATGTTTTAGAAATAATGTTAAGTCTAGGAGTAGGGTTTTTTATACTATACGTTAAGGATAGTATAATGAACTATTCTGTATCGAACAAGCGTATTCTACAGTTTACAGGTTACTTTGGTTTGCATTATATAGAAAGACTAGGCAAATCATGGAATCTGATAGTGTTTTCTACTATGTTGGTTACATGTTAAAAAAAGTATTGTGAGGGTGGAAGTAAATAAAATGTGAGTAAGGGAATCTACAACATGGCAATTGACAGAATAGCTGAACTATGATGTAAAACCAGGGAGAAATGACAAAGTACAAACTGGCAGTAGGTAATGTGTTAGATTAGTCTACGTCTAGTTCATATTACTATTATGATTAGACCGAATGGAAAAAAAAACTATTGGTTACCATGTTTTCACCAATCACTAAACATACATAATTGGAAAATTTAAAAACAAAGGCTCGCATCAAGAGAGATTCTGGTTGTTGATACTTGACAGATATTCTTTAAATACTGATTTTTAATTAGACATCACAGTGAGAAATACATTTGTAAATGAAATAAATGCTCTTATAAAAATACTGTAACATAGAACATACATTTAGACATATATATTATAATTCTAGTGTAATTTTTTAAGCGAGTTTGCTTTTTTAACAACTTTTTATAAAATATGTTTCCTACTAACGTGTACATTTATTAAATTAAACATTATTTACAGGAACATCAATTCGTGGATTTTTGAAGATTTAACTGTTTTAAAAACAACAAAAACTGTCATCAATTAGCATCATAAAACATGGAGTTGCAAGCGACGCCTGATATTCCAAAGTGTTTAGTTAAAAAGCTAGAAACTTTGTGGAACGAGAGAGAACTTCTGGATTTCACCGTCAGTATTGATGGAATTACAATTCCGTGTCATCGTGTCATACTTGCTCTGAATTTTTCCGATGTTTGTTTAGATCTAATATGAAAGAAACCAGCGACAATGTTGTTACTGTAAAAGGTATGTCAGTGGGGACGTTTAACCTGATACTGAAGTACGTGTACACAGGTGAAAATATTTTAACTGTGGAGAATTCGATTGACGTGTGGAGAGCAGTAGATCAGTTACACATTGATTTTATGATTGATATATGTGAGAAATTTGCCTTCAATGCATTGAATGTATTTAATTTGGAGGGCATCTACAAAACAGCAAAGCTATTAAACACTACAACTGTATTAGATGCTTCAAAATCATTTATGTTAAAACATTTTAATTACTTTTGCAAGACGAAAATATTTATGGAATTATCATTTGAAGAGATCAACGAGTTAATAGTTGATCAAGATCTAAAAGCTAATGATGAAGATATTGTACTTAAGTCAGTGTTAAAATGGGTTGAGTTTGAACAGGGAAATAATCACAAATTTGAAACTAAGCAAGTGGTACATGACTCAAAAGATGATTGTGAAAATATGGATTCGAATCAGCAGACACGCAAATGTTTACAATTCAATAATACCACATTTCAAATAACGGTTGACTCTACAAGTTTGGAAAAAAAAATCTAATCAGGAAAGACAAACTTGTAACTTTATTGCAGAATGTTAGGATGTGCCTAGTTAGACCTACATTATTGTCAAAGGTCTTAAGGGGATATGCTATGTTTTTTTCTATTTTTTTACAATGTAAGATCTAAAGCCTTTTGAATACTTTTATCATATTTGGCATATAAAAGTAATTATTAAACAGCAAAAAAAAGGGTCGAAAACAATTTTGGTTGTCATGAAAACCCAAAAAACCTCCGCCATTTTGAATTTTTCGGTACTTTTAAAAATACTAAGGCTTTTTTATTTATGCACCTATAGCAATCAAATTTAAACTGCTTATATTTCAGTATATATTAAAACTTTTGTCACGACAACTTTTTGAAATAATTACTAGTAAGAATTTTACAAGGTCTAAAAAATCGTACCCTTTTTAGTATTCAAAAGTTTCAAAATTTGCATATTAATTACCAAATACTTTTTTTCTATGAAAGCAAACACAATTCCCTCGTGACAAAAGTTGTATTTTTGCATCAAGAACAATTACTGAAAATATGGTTGGCATTGTTTAATAAATAAAAAAGTAGTAGGCTTTTTAGTGTTAAAAACATGCGAACTGAGAAAAACAGCCAAAAGTAACGAAAACTAGGTCAGGAAAGTACAATATCTGTGTAAACTGAAAAGCCTATTGTAAGCTTTGGGTGTTTCCGATATGTAGGAAATTAAGTTTATTAGATACATGAGAAATCCAGCTTTCCAATGATGTCAAATACAATATAATGATGGATATAAAACTTTTCATAGAGATCTTGGAAGATTGGGAAAAATTGATTATTTTTTAATTAATAGGGTCATAAAAATCGTAATTCAAACACATAAAACATTTTTTTGTCTTTAAAGTTATTATTTTCTTTATACAAAAATGGACAAAGTATCCAAAAGTGCAAGAAACCCATCATGACGAAAAACAAGAAATTTAGTGATTTTTTTCTGCGCATATCCCCTTAACCATACACTACTACACGGAAACGATGAAGCAAAGCTCTTATTTTTAAAGCAACACTCTATCGTATCCACAATTTTAATCATGGCCAATGGATATCTGCTGCTATTCATAGAAACAGCAGTAACTATGGGCTTTATGGTGTATATACACACTATGATGAGCATATAAAATCGTTTTGTGTTGAATCAGAAACGTGGCATACTTTGACCTCAACCTGCCCTTTATGTTTTAAAACACAACCTTGTGATTTTGATAATAAGCTCTATTGCTTCGGCTAATCACACAAAAAATACAGCTGTCCTTTAGTAGTTTTTCAAGATGGTACTTGGATAGAAATAGCAGATATTCCAGGACATAATTTAATTATTTTTCCATATGATAACTATATTTATTTTATAGATTGTGGAAGTAATAACATTTATAGAATAAATCCAAATTTAAAAAAAACCAAGGCCAGAAATATTTTTTAGCTTACATATTTCAATAACAGTTACATATGCAATGGGCTATGAAGACAAAATTGTTTTATTTTCATCTTTGACAACCAGTGGCACGGATAAAACTGCTGTCCATTGTTTTGATGTTTCGTCAAAGTTGTTGACCCCACTCGACAATCTAGATGGGCCAGCAGATCATATTATTTCATTTCGTGATGATAATAACACATACATATTACAAAAAGATGGACAATTGTGGATATTGTCTTCGTCTAAGTCAAACCTAATACAGTTTAGATACGTTGACCAGTTGTGGAATAATAAACGTATACTACATGGTGCTTTTACTTATAAAGGTAAATTAATTATTTTATCAGAATCTAGCGACGTCATCCAAGGTCAATGGACAAGCTCACAAATAGCCGGACATTTCAGAGTTATTAAATATAAGACAAGAAAAAATTCGACTAACTTCGTACCAGCCATATTACCGAAATCTTACTTTTTGTCATCAACCAAAACTTAAATTATCGTTGTTAACTGAGGCATTTTATAAGTAGTTATTTAGGTATTGGCTGGTAATAATGCGTGTGAGTTTTGTAGTTCTGTATATTCTTATATTTGGTATGATATTATCCTTTAAATATAGTTGAGATATTGTAGGTTGTGAATTTTACCCTGAGTTATTTAGCATTTAAGATGTTTTTACAATTATGTTACTATGTCTTGCGAAATTTCGATTTGATGTATTTATATTGCCTAAGATGTTGTTTTGAGGGATATTTTTCTTTGATGACTGAAGTGCAGGAGGACACCTCAGTGCAGAATGAACGTTTAATCACATAATGCCAATGACCCTCTTTGCAGAACAATAAGTCAGCGGAATAAAAGGCTTAAAATTTCTCTAAGTACATCCAGCTTTAATGGGTACCTGACACATTAGGGAAAGTAAAGACGGTCTGGCATAGTTCTGACTACACTTTCTCAGCATATGTTGAGGTCACTGAAACAGGTGAATTTTACTTCGCCTGTCGTATATTCTGTAAGTGTTAAAAGGGCACATTATTTACTAAAAGTATTGATCGAATTAACAGCTTTAATGTACTTACTTTATTTAGACATGTGAATTAAAACATTGGAAGAGAAATTAATAAATGAATAAATTTTTACAAAATTAAATGTTCTTATTGCCATGTTAATGTAAATGTAAAGAAACAACTTTGTTTCATTTAATAGACTATTGTGGTTCAGTTTTTAAATAGATTTTGTTAAGGTGTAATCTGTCGATAACTTTGTTGATCTGTTAATAAATAGTATTATTAATTTTTTTAAATATATATTCGGTATTCAAAATAAATGTATAAGGATAATGCTACAAAAGGCCAACGTACATATTTGAGTTAAACGTCAAAGCAGTTTTGTCTAGACTCTAGACTGCTTACATAAATATAGAGCAACACTAATATTTTTGCTAAATAAAAAAAAACGAGACAAAAAACACCATAAATAATATATTTTTAGTTTATTTTAAGAACAAAACGTTTTAGTAATTTAAAAAATTATTTTAAAAATCAAATATGTTTTGTTAATTTCTGGAAAGTTAGAAAAAAATTCACTTTTGACATTGAAGATCCGTGAGGGTTCAATCTGTAACGTAGAAAGGAATTTAATTAATAGAGTAACATGTTTGCTTATATTTAACTATAAGAAAACTGAGAAAAACAAACTTACATCTTTAATATCAGACGAATAGATTTTATCCTCTCTGTGGAAAGTACAAAAAGCTTATAAAATAATTGTTAGTTTGGAAAATAATTACTAACAATTGTTTATTAATATTGTTTATAAAATTATTTTTGTTAGTTCAGCAAAAACATCCTTACCCTCCCTCCTTTGCCTTTACTCTGTGAGTAGTAGTAAAAATATGGAAAATTATTAATCACACGTTTTCAATTCGGAATGTCAAATATATCTAAATACCTTAAATATAAATATAAATAAATAAATAAATAAATAATTAAATAAATAAATAAATATATATATATATATATATATATATATATATATATATATATATATATATATAAATAAATAAATAAATGTATATATATATATATATATATATATATATATATATATATATATATATATATATATATATATATATATATATATATAATTGAAAATTTATCCTACTTTTAATAAGAGCTATTTACTTGAATGTGTCATCATTAATAGAACGAAACGGAAAAGACTAACAACTGTCGACAATGTTTACCTGTTCTTGGCCATCAGATTGTGAATTTGACTGTTGATCACGCTGTGAAATAATTAAGTTTGGAAGGATAGTACATGAATTTGAATGTAAACAGAGGTTTGCAAAGCGCTGACTTATTTATTATTTTGGTTTAATTATTTTTATTTTTTTGTTTTAACACAATTTAAAATATTTTACTTTACTTAAGATTACTATGCAGAAACGAAGCGGGAGTGATCCCCCTGCACTTACTATTTTATTATATCCTTTAAATAGAAAAAAAATAAAAATAATTGCGCACCAAATGAGCGTTAAACTGAGTAGGCCTATATAATAATGCGGGCAATACGTGTTTTAAGCAAGTGATATAAGTTTGATATAATACTAATATACGAAATCTTGTCAACACACACACACATACAGACGTAATTGTTGACACATTTGCAGAACTAAGTTTTTCTGAATCAGGGAGATGTAAAACGTTTATGTAACTCAAAACAGAAGTAGGAAACTATGGTCTTTAAAAATCAACGTTAAGAGCTAGTTAAAGGTACCCTTTATAGACTTTAAACCAAGTTTTCAATACAGTTTTAAAAGGAAAATCCATTTGACAACAAACTCAGGATACAAAAGCTTAATATAATCCGATGTATTACGTTTTAACCTTTTCAAAACCAATCATTTGGCTTCCCGTGAGTTACTAAACTTCAATGTTAAATGACCAGCAACTCCACAACACTACACAAAAACATTCACTTACCCCAGCAGCATATGATTCTCCGTTTCCTCTGCCCTGCACAATAAAAAATGGAGTGGGTAGAATCATTTCCATTTATAAGAAATATACATGCGTTTTTAAGCGAAGTTTAAATAGAAGGTTTTATAGAAGGTTAAAAAACGATAAACTTTAGTAATTAACTTAAAGAAACACATACGGTTGACTTACATTATCGGAATGTTGAGTACCATCTTGTCCACCCTTTGTACAATATACAACAATTAAATATAGTTACATCATTTGCTTAAAAATAAACAATGGTATAGTATAAATTACGTTTTATTAAAGGCTTACTTGAAATGTATAGTGAACGCATGAGATAGGAAATATAGAAACATAAAACATTTAAATGCACTAAAGACTTACCGCTCCCCCGCCTCTCTGTAAAAAAAATTAATCGTCTATAAGTGGTTTGAAAAAATTAATAACATGAGTAACATGCGTAGTTTGTCAGTTTAATTTGTTAGCTTAATAAATTAAATGTAAAGCGTAGGTTGTAGAGTAAAATAATGAAAACACAATAATATTTTAAATGAATAAAGTAATTTTACAAAATGTCAATGCAAATATCATTGTTTCTTATACCAATACACTAGACACATACATGAGTTTTCTAACGCAGTGAATATATAATTATGTCCTTAATTATGAACTATTTAATAAAATAACTCACAGGTGAGCCTTGTGCTACACAGAAGAGTGCCAGCATTGCAAGCGCGATAACAAAGATCATTTTAGGGGCCATTGTAGACACTGTTGATTGGTAATTGTTTAAGACTATTACAATTAGTAACCTGTTAACTTATCATTAATTAAAAATATCTATAATAATAGCCTACAAAACATCTTACCTACCTTCAGTGATGTAGATGTCTCAAGATTTGGTTGATGAATGTAGATATCCAGTTAAGCCATTCGTTTTATATTGACTGATAACTAAAGCCGTCTTAAAATCGTGACACAGTCTTCTATTCATAACAATAAATCTTTACGCTTTACAAGTTGTTCGCGTTGTTGTAAAAAGCAAAGATTAATACCGTCATTCAATGCGTATATTTTCTAACAAACCTTGCTAACATTTAAACAATCGCATTTATTGTAGACACGAATCTTGAAGTGGTGACATTTCATTTGTGGACTGAGTTATCGTGACAATTACACAATCTCCTTCGTTTAGGTGCAATACAATTATATATAGACTGAATGGAATTGTACGAACAACGAAGCTATTTGTTAGCTGCACGGGAAATGTTAAGGTTGACTGAATGAGATACATCTGAATAGCCAAACTCCTATCTCTGCAGTCCCAGATTTTGCCCTTAGAATCAAGTTGAATTCACGGGACATTACGGCCCTCCCCCGTCAATTACCACCCCGACATTACCCCCGGAGCAATTAGCCCCTTGTCAATTACCTCCTGTCAATTACCGCGTGGGGAAGAATTACCCCCACCTTCCTCCCTCAAACTCAATAATGCTGACTCTAGCTCCAACTCCAAACCTGCTAATTGCTTTAATCCAAATGTTAAGAAAAAGCCTAACCCTATCTCTTCGCATGAGCCTTAAACTTAACCCAAACCCAACACCAACAAACATTGGTTTAACCCTAATCCTGGTCCTTACCCTTACCCTTACCCTTACCCTTACCCTTACCCTTACCCTTACCCTTACCCTTACCCTTACCCTTACCCTTACCCTTACCCTTACCCTTACCCTTACCCTTACCCTTACCCTTACCCTTACCATTACCCTTACCCTTACCCTTACCCTTACCCTTACCCTCACCCTCACCCTCACCCTCACCCTCACCCTCACCCTCACCCTTACCCTTACCCTTACCCTTACCCTTACCCTTACCCTTACCCTTACCCTTACCCTTACCCTTACCCTTACCCTTACCCTTACCCTTACCCTTACCCTTACCCTTACCCTTACCCTTACCCTTACTCTTACCCTTACCCTTACCCTTACCCTTACCCTCATCCTAATCCAAATCCTAATCATATCCCTATCTCTATCCGTAACCCTATCCCTAACCCTGAGTCCATGCAGCCCCAATGGGTCCAACAAGTATAGGCGGATGGCCATAGTGCTCCCTTTTATTTATCACGGTTAATCAAACAGACTTACATCATTAAACTCTTGGGCCATCTAATCTGATAATACATTTGTATTGTATACCTACTGCTAAAGATTTTAAGGCATTGCATTAAAGACGAAAGTTTGTGTTGGGATACAGGTACATGATACGGGTGACTGAACAGCAGCGGTCTAGTCCTGACACGTTGTACGGCGTCCTACATTTAGGTCAAAGTCATGTTACAAATATTTTCTGCATAACATGTATATTTATACCGACATAATTAATAAAGACTGGCGAGTAAATGTGTCCGATATGTGCGTCAAATAATCGTATCTTAGACTACAACTTTTAGGCCTTTTATGTGTTAACCCTGAAATAAATGTTGATGAAGTTGTGATGTTTTGATGAGGTGTAGTACTTGGTTGAATGTAGTAAATTGCGGTAAGAAGGTTAAACGTACAACGTACACGCAACACGAAAACACACTAAACTAAATTATACATGTATTGTTATGCTGTGCGTTTCCGTTTATAAGAAATATAACACATTCGCAACCGGTATTGATGATTATGTATTGCTGGGACGCACCCATGTTCCCTAATACTTTATTTGTCCCTATTTTCTAAACATATTTTTTCCCTCACACCTTACGTAAGCACAATCATAACCATAACTTCAACAATAACTGCTAATCTAATCATTAACCATGCCCAACGGCTAAGCATAACGTCAACCTTAGACACCTTACTAAAACTAGAAAACTAGATTATATCCAACTACATCTGTGGACACGATAGTAACCTCCACTACAGTGGCACTACAACTACAATATTTTTATTAAATTAAAGCAACATTTAAGTATGCAACTACGACTAGCCCGAAAAATGATAACAGTTATCATATTTACTGCTATATGTATTGCCCTGAGCGAAAAAAAAATTTAACGATTTATCCTTGCTTAAAAATCAAATGAGATCTAAATGTACACTGAAAAAGAAAAATCAATGTCAGCCAGGTGTGTACTTGCAGTTTCGATTCACCAGGTGATTCAAATAATATGATCAATCACTGTGCTCGATATGGTAAAACTGGGCTTCAGCATACTGAATGACACGGTGTAGTAGACCAAAGAATTGAAGACATGCTCAAAGGTAGGTGGTGTTTACGTAGTATAATGTTTAACATACAGGTTTTATAAGGGTACGTCTTTATCTTTCTCTATCTGTCTCTTTATATACATATATCTATATATCTATATATATATATATATATATATATATACATACACACACATATATATATATATATATATATATATATATATATCTATATATATATCTTTGTATGTGTATGTAACGAAATCTTTTAATCTTATGCGAATTTCATTCCTTTCGTTCTCGACTATTTAACACATTTTAAAATATTAAAACGAATTATTATTTTTTCTTTAAGGTACTATACTTCTTTAATTTGCAACGTTTGAACAAATTGCTTTAAACTCACATTTTCATAATGGCCGAAGAATATGACAGATCGCATACAACTCTTGAAAACTTACACAATCTATTAATAGAGGAGGATTTACTGGACTTTACTGTACAAGTTGAAGATGTTGAAATTCGGTGTCACCGTGTCATTCTGGCTGGGTCATCACATTTCTTCAGAGGGCTTTTAAGGTCAGATATGAAGGAAGCAAACAGCGGTTGTGTATCTTTAAATGGGATGTCACCCTTAACATTTCAACATATTTTAATTACAATGTATTCTGGACAAGTTATTTTAACATTAGAT